ACTTCAGATAAGTATTCACCCAGGGAATCGCGACAACTAGATTACGTTTCACAGTTTTCATCAGATATTCGCCATGTTTCCGGAGTGAACAACACTGTGGCAGATGCCTTGTCACGTATTTGTTCTTTCACCCAAATCGACGGCATAGACCTTGTAAAACTGGCTCGTCTTCAAAAAGAAGATATTGAGCTTCAGCGTGAGTTGTCGAAAACAACTCTACAACTAGCCAAGAAACCCTTAGGTATAGGAAAGGATACTATTCTGTGTGACATTTCCACTAGTACTCCTCGCCCCATCGTGCCTAAAAGTTATCGCCGTAACGTCTTCAATACGTTGCATGGCTTATCCCATCCAGGTATTCGAACTACTGTCAAGCTCGTAACTAGTCGGTTTTGTTGGCCTGGTATTAACAAAGAAGTAAGGGAATGGGCACAGACGTGCTTAGCTTGCCAAAAGTGCAAGGTAATAAGACACACTAAAAGCCCCCTTGGCACTTTTCTTATCCCTGATGCCCGTTTCGAACACGTCCATATAGATTTAGTTGGCCCCCTTCCAGAATCTCATGGATACACCTATATGTTAACCTGCATCGATCGCTTCACACGATGGCCTGAAGCAGTACCCATCAAGGATATATCTGCTGAAACTGTCGCACGCGTCTTTGTAGAGAGATGGATCGCAAACTTTGGATGCCCATCTTCCATAACAACTGATCGTGGGCGGCAATTCGAAAGCGGTTTATTCTTCGCTTTGACTAAAATCCTTGGTTGCATGCGTTTTCGAACAACAGCCTACCATCCTCAAGCGAATGGTATGGTAGAACGTCTACACAGACAGTTGAAAGCTGGTTTATCAGCTGCAAATAACACCCATTGGACTGAATCCCTTCCGTTAGTTCTCCTAGGGATACGAAACGCCTTAAAAACCGATGCTGGTTGTACTACCTCTGAGCTAGTATATGGCACAACACTACGACTGCCAGGTGAGTTTGTTTCTCCCTCGAGCTTCCCACCAGTGGTAGATCACTCCTCATACGTCAGCAGGCTTACAAACGCTATGCGTTCAGTTAAACCTGCTCCCCTCCGACCACAGTCCATTGATGTTTTCGTTCACCCTTGTTTAAAAACTTCTTCACATGTATTTGTTCGTCGCGACTCGGTACGTCGTCCTCTAGAACCCCCATATGACGGACCATATAAAGTGATTAAACGTACTGATAAATTCTTCGTTTTAGACAAAAAAGGCCGCGAAGACACCGTCAGTATCGACCGTCTGAAACCAGCTTACTTGGAAGGTAACCCCATTAGCCTGGAGCTAAACGTACCCGATAATTCACAAGTAATTGAATCTACTTCAGTCTTCGAAGAACTCCCTAGCACGGCGAAAGCCACCGAACCTTCGGTCGATCACTCTAAAAAAACGCGTTCTGGACGTCACGTTAGATTCCCAGAATACCTTCACACCTATTTCACATAACTGAGTGACACATCAATTTTTTTTATGTTGCATCATTTAACACAAGTAAATGATATTTTTCCTATAACCGTACATTAAATTAAATTAGATGTATATTTTTTTCCCGATATTTTGAACTTTACATTATTTTACTGTATAGTAGATGCATGTCATATTTTTTTGTAAAAAAACGCTTATTTGGTACATTTTTCTTGACAAGGTTCTCAGCATTCTTGTTTTCTTTTCCAGGTGCAACGGGCACTGGACAGGAAACAAACGAAGCACGGGATCCAACGAACAACATTGAGGAAGCTATGTACAGACACCCTATTAGCATAGGCAGACAGACCAGCAGGCTCTCCATCAAGCCGCTCGGAAGATTTTTTTCACCCATCAGGGAACCATCGAGATTTTTTTACTTCCGGCTGGTCATGTCTTAGGGTCCTCACAAACCCACTAGGGGGGAGTGAGCTGTAGCGGTAAATAATTCCCCAAAATTATTAACCACAGCAATCATCACTCAACATTGGATGCTGACCATCACTGTTTAAGTCGACTTGTTTAGCTGAAGGCTTACGGTCAAGCATCCCCGCCATTTGGTGCTCCGTCGTGTCACGTGCGTGCACGATTACTAGCTAGCTAAGCATTCACCTCTACCCGCGATTTTGTCCCGAAATATAATACGTACTTTGGACGACAAAATCTGGTCTTTTGCTTTACCATTTGGTACTCGAAGAACGAACACTATAGAAGTTGTTGGTATAAGATCTTGCGTTAGTATAATCCGTACAACTCGCGAACGTCGATACCGTCAACCACCTAAACTGGTCAGCCAGTAAAATCGTAACTGAAACACTTCACGCAAGGCTTGATGACGCATTGAGGAAATAATAATGGTTTAAGTCTGACGTACTTCACACAAGCAAACCAAATTAGAAATAGTTTAGTATGAAACCGTGCATACTTACATTAAAAAGATTAATAGCAATCCAGTGAAAAAATCACAGTTGTAGAGTTTTTTATAGCTGCGCCATAGTCATCATAAAGTCTACTAATCACTCTACCCACAACATCTGTTTCAGTTTGCCTCTGTTGGTATTGGCGTCGGATCAGTCTTTCAGTCTCGTCACCACCAGATCCTTCAGCAGAAACTGGATGTGATCTTTCCAAGCAAAGACTGAGATTGCATTCCTTCGAATACCTCCGGCAGCATTGAGAAATATCTGAGGATGTATGCATATCAGGTGAACTGATCTTACTTCTGGCGAGCAATAGCTCATCTTAGGCACACGGAATATGTGAAGAAGGGAGGGAATAATCATAGAGTTGGCGAAATTCTATGTAGTCGTCCATATATTCTACGATAAATTTGAAGAATTTTAGAACTTTCAAAGCATGTTTTACATTTTATCTTCTGTAAAAAGCAAATATTACACAAGCAACTCTATTTTCCATCCGTTACAACCAAGTGAAAGAGATCGTATCTTCACACTTAATACCTTTTTGATAAACTTACCCCTTAATATTCTTCTTGTAAATGGATGCAATGCTTATCCCATCTGGGAAATTTATATACATATCAATTTGTTCCCTTAAGCTAAAAAATATAATGTCTATCTGATTTTATTATTATTGCTATTTCAAAGCCTGCCTCAGTAAAGTGCGACACGTATTAGCCACAACGTGTACGCGAAGGAAAATCTACCAATCACAATGTGCTTAAGTGACCTGCAACTGCTCAGCCTATCCGTAAGCCATTTGTGCCGCTATCCCCTGTCTAAACACTGTGATTCTCGAAAGAAATTAAGAAAAGACACGCAGCATTGTTTCTCTCTTGCTATACAAAAACACTACATCACATGATATACTCTAGATTAAAACTCCACGCGTAAATCCTGCGTAAAGGGTAAACATTTTCAAACTAAATACGCTGCAGATTTTGTCGGAGTTAAACTGTGATAGTTAATACTGCAGTGGCCTTGAACAACCAGTCAGAATTTAAACCCAATAAAGTCGTGTCATGGTTGAAAAATGCAATTGGAAACATCGCAAACATCATATCATACTACATAGTTATAGCTTATGTGTTGTCCCCCAGTCAGAAATCGTATCACTAGCGATTTTTCAATTCATCCAGGCGACTGCAGGTGTCTGGAGATCCGCTGATATTACTGATGCCATTTTTCAACCTACTCCTAACTTTAACCATAATCCTACCTCCCAATCTTAACTTTAATCCTGAGCCTGGGCTTAACCCTGGAACCTTGAACATTGATCTAAAAGGTCATAATCCTACCTAAAAGGAGAGATTTGCAGATAAAGTAGCTAGTAAATAAGTACAGCACTGTATCCAGCCTCTCCAAGTTTAAAACGACAGACAAGATTAAATTTAGAATGACATTTCACAGAATTCCTGTTCTTGAAGGTTTAATCGTGAAAGACCTTGACATTGTCTACGATACTTTAACTTCGCCCAAATTTCTGTAGCATGAGTTAATATGTCTGAAATAAAGCTTTACTGTCAGTTATAATTACTTATATCTTCCGTGTTTGTGCTACTTCTATCCTCCATTCGCATTGTGTTTCTTTGTCTTCTCTTATCTTTTGCCGAAAAACTGGTTCGTTTTCTCTCTTTGGCTTCAAATTCGATGAGTGTCTGCACATATATAACTGACAAATCTCGTCAGTAGCCTACACGACATACTTGTAATTAAATGTTATCGACTGTTTTTTACTATGAACACAAATGTAGTGATTAAAAGACAACCACACTGTAATCCAATCCTAATTCCTTCAGTTTCGGAAAGTCTCTCAATGCTTTGTGAACCTTCTCCTCGCTTAAGAAACATCTTAGCATTACTTCACGAAAACTTCCAATTGCATCTGTGCTGTTGTCACTCACATTGATTACCTACGTTGAACATTTAAAATCATCAAGAAACTTTGTAAACCACGCAAGACCATACACAGGAGTACCTACCTACGGAAAATCAAAAATCCAATTCACTGCCACTGTCCTAGCTGATGGAAGACACATTAAGGAGATATAAATTTAAAGGGGCGATGACGTTTATCCTCACCCATAAAAATACACTTACTATGAATAATTATGCCCAAAATTAATTAAAAACTATAAATTATGCCAGAGTATTCTGAGTTAAATTCTGTGGTCTAAAACATAACAAAAGCTGAAATCAAACACCAGGATGGAAAACTCACTCGCTTTCCAAAGTGCGCATGGAAAGTGTTGATATGGGATATATAATGTTTAGATTGGACAAAGACTAAAACTGTGAATTCAAGGAGATATTGTGGTTCGCTTAAGTTCACATTAGGGAGATACTAAGGTTAGAGTTCAGACTCTCGAACCGAGGTCACTAGTCCGGCTGGTCAAAGCTGAATTTCTCCCATTAATTGATCTATGTGTGACAGAAGACATAGTTAGAGCATATTAATTTTGAACAAACCCCATAAATTTAGAGCAGTTTAATATCTCATTTGTCACGAGATTGTCCTAGGGTTAGAGTTTGTTTTTCTGTGCTACCCAAGTGACCGCGGGACTTCAGTCGATGGATTTGTTTACTGGAGCACCGTTAGCACCTTTCGAGGTTGATGGTGTATTTGGTGATCTTGATGGGTCGGAAACATCTTCATTAGTGGCTGATGCAAGCACTCACATCAAGAGAGTCATGTCGATCCCCCTAGAGGGCAGTTTTTTGTCTTTCGAAGACTCACTAACTGATCTTGTTGGGAATTTTGATGAAAAAATATATCACTGCTTTGAGAACTTTGATATAGAGCCTGAAAATGCAAAACCACGTCACGCAACGACTAGTGTCGCTACATTGAGTGATGTCAAGTAGGTATAGTACTCCTCATAAATATGTTAGGCGATGGTGGGCGGCTGCCACTACGGAGTTTGCACCTAATGGATCCTACCCACTTGAAACCCTACCGAGTGATATTAATTTATATGATTTGGTGAGTAATTATCTGGTTCTTAAAGTCTGCGTAATATTTACTCATCATCAGAATCCGACTTGGTTTAATGTCTTCTAGACCATTCCTATACGGTCACTATTCATTCTAAAGTTTTCCACATTAATTTGTTTATCAGATATATCACACAGTAAAACAGTGTTATTTATTGGATGGCTTTCCGAATGGTTCATAGTCATATCAATTCTAACTACACAGCTCCAAATCATTTCTCATAGTTTTCTGTATAAATCAAAAGTTGTAGTTATAATTGATGTGATCATGGACAATAAATTGTGTTCAGAAAGACACCGATTAAATAATGCCGCTTTACTATGTGATATACCCAGTAAATAAATTAGTATGGAATTATATACTAACAATTTTTTACAAATACACTCCGAAGTCTCATTGGGAATGTAAATGAAGACATTGGAGCCAGTGTTATTCCTTAAATGTACGTAAATATATCTGCATGCCGCATCACTGACTGCCTGTTCAAGCAATCTTAGTTAAAGTAGTGTTAGATTACATATGAGTATGGGATCATGTCAATAAAAGGTGGTAATCTATTGTCATTGACTTCTGATCTGAACTAGGTAGGGATGTTCACATTACCTGGTTCAAGCCCCCACTCTTGGTGATATAGTTAAAAAGTCACCAGCAGTGATACAAATGTATTCATACCTTGTCATAGTTCAGGTCCTAAACGTACTCCCTTATTCTCTTATTTTCCTCGGCTGAATATGTTTATTCAATCTTCTTATTGGATTAATTATCTCTGGTTTTGCGAAGTGTGAGCACCTTTGTGTAAAAATCTTCATAAATTTAGTAAATAAATCTAGAATGATAGCAGTTCGAACCATTAGTACATATATTAATATATCGTTTAGCGTGGTTGCTCCGATCAGTGACCAAATCAAGTTATGTACGACATAAACAAGCCTAATAGAACTCACCTCACAAGACTAGCCAGAGACTAGATGTATTGTAGACAAGTGTAGCATGCATAGCAATGCTATAGCGACAGGCTCCTTTAAGCGAAGCTAGTGCCCACCCAATTAAGTGAAGTTATGCCTGCCAACCAATTTACTATATGAATGGCTACAATACGTAGACTTGTGGAAACCATCGACAGTCATATTGCTGGTGGTATAAGCACTCGATTTACAGTCAGTGGGTCCGGGGTTCAAGTTCGCCTCAGCCTGGGCTACTGAGTATTACCACCAGCCCGCAGACAACCAGTGTGACTCATAGTTCGGCACCTGGAAAATGTGTTCCGGATAACTGAGGTCAGAAATATCAGTCATATTAGCGAGCTGAAAAGAATATAACCTATTCTCAAACCTATAAAGCTTCTGCTAGAGTTACTATAGCATATATGGGTAGTAAGCCAGGCAGCCCAACTGAGTGCTAACAGGCTTAAAACCCGTGATCGCAAGTTGCATTACCACTGCCGCGCATCCCTCGGTCCTTTGGGAGCCTTACACCAATTTCTATTTTTCAACTCGTATAACATTTGTGCTGTCTACGTACATAGATTTTACTAGTTGGTCGAAGTAACATACTATTACTATTCACTTGGGTTCCGAGTGGAGCATACAACTTCAACAGCACATCTTCACGTTGTCCTGTTTTCTGCGGTCCTCCGTAGGTAGCCCAACGATTGCCACTTAAGCTTTCATCTCATGACACGAACTCCATGTCATCCCCAGACGCCCAAGTCATCGTCTCCCGTTCAGCTTCCACTCGTGGGCCTGGCGCGTGTTACCTTATGGTGTTCTCATCGTGTGCCTGATCCAGCTCCATATTCTTCGGCGTATCCCTTGAGCAATAGGTTCTTCATTGGTTCATTCCCAGAGTTTCTTGTTGCTATCTCATTCTGGCCATCTGATCTTCACTATGGAGCGAAGGCAGCTGTTGATAAAAGTCTGCAGCTGGCTGTTGGAAATGGTTTTTGTAACATGCATGCCAAGTTTTTGACCCATCTAGAAGAAATGAATTAAGATTGGTGTTGAAAATCCGAATTTTATGGTTTTGTTCGGGGCGCAGAAGATTTCTAAACTGATTTCAAAGTAATGGAGACGAATTAATAGCAGCAATAAATTTAATTGACCATATTTGGGAGCAGTGTATTATACGATGCTTGTAACCGGAAATGCATTCCATAGCTTCAATACGATTTGTCGTCGCTAATAGTTTTATATGTTCAATCCCTGTAATGAACAAATTTTTCAGATTACTTGCAAGAGTTCATCCACATACTTTGTTGTAAAACGAATAATCGAATTCGTTCCTATTTCATTAATTCCTGGATCCTAGTATTGAGCATTTTATGTTTTCTGACAAGGATATAGTGTAGCTCTCATACCTATTCAAGATTGTCAGGCACATCGTTTAATTCCTTAGGTTTCGAGTAAAAACTAAGGCCTCAAGATTTTTAAAGTCTCAGTAGCAGTCATGTTTTTCTCTTATGGAGTGAGGTTGCTAGTCCCACACCCAAATTTCTTTTCCTGTCTTACTGTTGCCTAGTAAAACAGACAGGGTCAGCCAGGAATAAATAACACCAAGGTGAACACAATAGTATTGTCACAGAAGACCAGAAGTGAAGAAAAATCAGTTATTTCAGTCCAGTAAAATTATCTTCAGCTTATTATCTTTCTTTCTGCAACTCTTGCATCAATCTACTGGTGTGAAGTGTGCCAAGTAATACTACTTGCACTTCTGTTTACCAGAGGAATAAAGGAATGCTCAAACAGAAATTCTCTATAACGCGATGTACTGTAATTGTGCTTATTTTGATATATATTCCCTTGATCATCCTTTCATCATTCCATTTCATCTTTGAAGCATATTGCATTTTGTATTTCCACAAAATAATTCCAGTTTCAAAAATGGTAGTGTAAACTAAATTTGATGCAGTTGTAACTTTAATGGGGAGACATGTGTAGTTTTTTTCACTCTACATGATTGTCCATACCAGTTGTCCTTCTTCTTATCCAAAGTGAACCATAAATCACCCTTGTTACTTAGTTGAAATATGAATTGGCTGCTTATTTCTCATAAAAAATTCATTCTTTCAATGAAATAGGATACTCTGATTATTTTCAATTTCTTATCTACAGAACCAATTCGAGCTTGCAGATGCAGACGGAATAACAGAGGATGATATTATTAAACCAAACTTGCTGCACACGAACAAAGTAAGTTGTATGATATTTACATTGTTAACTTTTTTTCTATGAGTAATTTTAAAAGTGCTTCGTTATGAGTTCTAAATTAGATGGATTTTAGAAGATAGAGAAAACGATGCGTTTACGATAACCTGGCGCATCTCTTGGTGCCCGTGTTGTACTAAGTTCCTGTTTAAATAAATAAATGAATATAATGACACGGAAACAGTTATTCATATCGGGCTATTATGTTCTTGAGTAACAGTCTATGCATATGGGTGTACTGCATTGGCTTAAACACGGGCCTCGTGGCTTTCAGCTCAAAAACCTAGTATATGTATTTCTGTTTGAGCTGCAAATCCTATATCGGCTAATTGGGCCTTCCAATAATTTGTCTCAGTAATTTTCTTACTACTAAAATTACTGTGCCATGGTAAAACACTGACTCCGTCATATAGTTAACCCTTACTGATTAAGTAATATTTTGTATGATGCAGATAAATGCATCATGAGTCCTATATCAGCTTGCCTCCATGTAACACAAAGCAAGAGAAGAAAGTAGAAGAAATGCATAATAGAGACAGTAAACAGGTGTGAGACAAAGGAGTAGTAATAACGAAGAAAATTAGTATTGAAATTATAAGTCCAGGAGACATTCGTTCCTATATCAGCACTTAATTCTTGTCTCGTTATTCAGCTAGTGTATTAGGTTGCCGAACACTGATCTATTAAGCTTAGTTGTTTGAGCTCCCATTGCTTAATGGTAGGAGTGATATACAACTACTGGTGTCAATCTGTGTCACATTCTAACTGTATTTTAAAACACAAGTGAATTTCACGTTTCTGTCTTCAAAATTAGCTTTTCAGAGGATATCAGAGTGGGAATTCCCACTCAGGTGACACCTACTTATACCTACTATGTACAAATAGCTGGCTAAAGTAGGTAGTACGGTTTTGCGCTGTTTGAATTACTTGACTGGTTTGAATCAATCTAGTCAAACCAATAATGAGCGTAGTCCTAATCAATCGCCCTTCAATTAGACGATCTTTATTTTCTAATGATTACAACTGATTGATGTGATTATTCATACGCATACAATGAGTTCCATATATGTCACAGTGTATCACCTTTTGGAGAGCATTACTGATTTATGTTTTACTAAAATAGGTAAGCTCTTAGATTGAAAGTCTATGCATATTCTCTTTTGCAATGTAGTAAACGTAAATGCAACGCTGTTAAGTTACTTTTAAAAAAGCGGAACTTTGCTTTTTCATAGGCCTTGCATTATTCAAATGAATCTATCTGTTCAGCACGGGGTACTGTTACAACTTTATCTGTATCATCTACATCAGCTAGTCCTCGTTCATTAACACTTGATCGAATGTCTCCAAGTGAATGCATTCAGGCTTCAAAAATTGGAAATTCAAATATTGATAACAAAGTTAATGGGATTCATTTTGAAGGAAATCACAATGATCGAATTATTCTTGAAATATTTCAATCCCACCATCCCTCTCTTCCTTTAAAAAGAACTCAAAACTGGATAGATGGTAAGCATGTGATTTTTGTAAATGCAAGTTTGTAGTTATCTTCGATATCGTAGTCAAAATGAGACCAGATGTTTGTTATGAAGCAATAATTTAGACGTATTCACTTCGGTTACACCGTACTTATGGGTTTTGAATTTGAATGGCAAAATATCGTGGATGAATGATGCTTTACTCACTTAAGGCAACTTTTGATTGTCTTCAATATTAAACTGAGTCCTTGTCGTTTGTATATAAAGCAAAAACCAAAGTTAGATAAAAATCAACTCACTAAATAAGATGCAGTCAAGAACACTGATAAAAATCACTAGAAAACTAATAGTCCCCTACTAGTGTGAGACTGTCATTCTTTCTACTTTATTACCGCTCGAAATAATAACATTCTTGTCATAAGGCTTGGCATATCGAGGTCCTGTTTTCAGAAATCCAGTCAGTATGTTTTTCGAATAGATTGGAATATGTGGTTAGTTTTCTTTCCGAAGAAACTAATATTAATAATATTGATCAGATTGCATTTAATTTTGTAAGGTCTTCGTTGCATCTGTTGCTTCAATTCTTCATGGATGTTCTTATTTAATTTTTTTTTCAGATCTCCAAAATTTACCACTCAGTGTCTTAAAACTTTATGTTCAAGAGATGAATAACGGCATTATGCAGTTGTCGGATTGTTTAGTTGATTCGCTGGCGGAACGAGATGAACTTTTAATGCTACGCGAAGCTAGTGATGACTTTATTGTGCTACTTAGTTTGGTTCACGAGAGAAAAACCCGTGCGTCTAAAGCAGCTCTATTGGCCACAGCGAAAAATCTAATTCGTTCCAAAGTAAAAATCTGTGTATTATTTTTTATTTACGTTAATATCTGTTTATTGACACTTCCTTTGCTCATATCATTCAGATATAAAGTGAAATAAATTCAGTGTACTGTAAGTTCAATTAAATCAACTATACTGTGTATACAAATCAGAGGTAAAAATGAAAAAAAACGTAGCCAAGTATTAGGTGTTAAGCTTCCTTGAAGATTTTATTTCTCACCTGATTTAAGTGGTGTGGTGGGAAGGTCGTCATTTTAGTGATTCTATGAGTTGAATAACCATTTAACGAGTGCCTCAAATCAACAATCTTAATTCGGACAGCTTCAACTTATGAATAAACATGCCATACACAAAGATTTATCAGGGATAAGCTAGTATAACTACTTGCGTAAAAGGCTTATTTTTATAGTTATCTTGAATGGAGGTTTCAGACAAACTCATCGTTTATTTTTTTTACTGAGTTGGGAACGGCTTTCGTAAACACTCATCAGGAAACTGAGAGATCATGCTTCCTGTTTATTCTCAGTTATCACCAGTATGTACCTACAATTTCAGACAAGCTAAAAGTCCTGATTTTTAAATCCATCGTGGTGTCATATTAGGCTAATATATTTTTCCAGCTGGCTATATAGACCTAATAAAAGAAATCTCAACATCATCCTGTCCACCATTGTATTTCTTGATCATTGAAACTTAATCATTCAGAAGAAGTTAAGCTTAGTTTTTTCTTGTTGGTGAAACAGTTGCTTCCAGGATTTCAAATGATATTCAAATGCTTTGTGCTAGAATCGGAGAAGGAATGGAAAAGATTTGTAGCTCAGGTGAATGGTTTTGGTGTTTCTATGTTCTCTGAGCTCTCATTGTCCATCTAGACAACGTCTTCATTGCTAGTTTCAGAGCGAAATGAGATTTTTAAACCCATCATAAGTGAAGTAGTTGTCCTTCCTGATGACTTTGGCTGTGATTGGTTGCGTCTGAGGTTTTCCTTGTCATTGAGATACAAGCAAACAGTAAAATTTGAAGATTCTCATTTTCAAAAAATTCTGAACGCATATTCTAAAATTCCTTATTAAAAGTACAAAGAATTTGTATATTTCCCAAATTTATCTCAGTCTCCTCTTTTCCTTTTCAGTTTTTTAAAGGTCATAAAAAGACTACACGTCCGACATTATTTTTGCTATTAACGTACGTATCTGCGTCTCTAATTTTGGTTCCCTGCAGTCGCACTCGTTATTTTTATGTTTTAAAAGATGACACTATCATTTTCTCAGTGTTGCAAATCTCTTTTTCTGGTGCTTAATTAGTTTAGCAGTAAACACTGAACTTAGTTAACCGAGCGTCAAAAAGTTGAATTTTTCATGTCACATTCTAGGCGACAGTAAGCTGTCACTTCGTTCATCAGTGCTGCCATCGTTGTACGTCATGTGTCGATACGATGAAATTGCCTCTGGTATCATCCAAAGCTGGACTGATTTCAGACCGAATCTACGGTGATGGTGTCTTTACTTCATCCATCTTAGAATACAGGCTTGTTTTAGCAACACTCCATAATGATCATACATCGTAAGCTGTATGTGGCTGTATTTTTGAATATTGAAAAGCCCCACTGAGATTCTTATAAGTTGTTCCCACCAAGTGTGTAATTACGAAGTATGCGTGTTTGACCATCATTCTAAATGTGGCACCTTCTTACGTTTGGATGGTACTGCATAACTCATGCATTAGATCGTCGTTAATAATGTCTTCATCATTTTCTCATTAGACATTACAGAAAGTCTAACTTTAGGGACTTTTTAGTTATGAATTCTCCCACCCCCCATAGATTAGTGAGCAACACAAATAAACTTAACTAGTAGAAAAATCATTGAGTTTTGTGTCATAGTTGTAGAGGTAATTAGAAATTTTGGTGTAGTTGTCTTCTCTGAGCTGAATGGTTTAGTTGCACAACTTTCATTGTCTTACTAGACGACATCTTCAGCGCATACTTCAAATCATCTAGTAAGACAATAAAACCTCCTCAACTAAACCATCCAATCCAGAGAACACAACTACACCAAAACTCATCCGTGTGAGTTCCAAATCTGCTTCAACCTATAATTAGAAATGCATACCCTTAATTGAAATGACGTCGAGGATTATTATTGAATTTACGAAAAATGACATTAGTAGGATCCATTCAATGTATACTAGGATTTAGGCTTAATTGTGCAGCAACTTAACCGTGTTAACAACTGTTTTATGTTTAAAGCTAGCTATACTAACACAACTTTTGATAAAACCTCTGAATATTTTTTTCAAAATACAGAAGCTTCTAATTTTGCATTTAAATGTGGCTTTCTTACATCTTACCATGGTAAAATTTTAGTTCCCTTTTTGCGCTTGATTTTCAGAATGTCTAGAAAGTGTTCATTATTCCTAGCACTTTAACTTTTGTTTGATGTTTTAAAATTTTATATTCTCCTGCAAAAATTGTAGATTTTATATCTCGTCAGTGTTTTAAATATTTGAGTGTCGTTTGGAAGAAGTAATTCTAATTTATATCTTGATTTGGAATAATCATTTATCATATATTATGTATTATATGCAGGACGAACGTAAATTATGCAGTAGATTTATCAGTTAACTGATTTGAATTGCCTGGCTGTGAGGTCATTCAGTATAAATACATTACATTGCTGATGATCCCATTTCCAAACTAAAGGAATATTGTGGCTTGTGCCAATGTATCAATAGTATATAAAGAGACGTCCATCGCCACTCAAAACTACCAAATTGTGGAGACATAGATTTGACGTCAAAGAGAGGAAATGATTCAGCGTTGCGGCAAAACATGGAGACACGAAGAGAAGACAAAGAAACACAATACGGAGGAAAGGTAGAAGTAGCACAACACGGAAAATATGGGCAAATGACGATTTGCAGATAAAGTGTACATAATTTCGCTACATAGAGATACCAAATTCCAAATAAACACTCCTTTGGCAAGTATCTTGTCCTCTTCCATTACAATATCTGTCTGGTTACTTTTTTGTTTTACGGTTTTCTGAATATTCACACGGGTCAGTATATGCACTCATAATACAAACCTTTTAGTTTCTTTTATTTATTTATCCGGTGATGGTTAGTATACATTTCAGGTAATTTTTTAGTTACACTGGTTTTTACATTCATTTCGGAAATTTCATTTTCTCCTGGTCTAGCAATATTTTGATAAGTACTCATTCTTAATCTTTTTAGACTCTATTTCGTGTTTCCACTCCATGGTTTACTAAGAGATCTGACATGTCAGCTTCCAGCACATTGTCACTAATTGGATCGTCACATTTGGGGAAACCAGTGACTACAAAACCGGTTAGAAATGAATCACTCACAAATGTTCCAGTTAATTCAGTCCATTTAGATTTGGAAAACAATTCGGTTGCTTATGTTGCATCCCTTAATTTGCACTCAAAATTAAGGCGACCTAGAACGCAAGCCATACCTCATATTCATTTAAACAATCATATAAATGCTAAGAACAAGTCAAATTCACCGCCTACTTCAGTCAGTTCTAAACCTGTAGGTGGATCGGAATCTTCAGAACCTGTTGGTGTGTCATCAGAGAGCATAGCGTCGATACCGGTCAAACAAGCAAAAATTCGCTATGAAGCCCTTGTGAATATGTGTAACTCTACAAACTGGCCGAATGGCAATCCTCAAGAAAGTCGAGTAAGTCAGTGTTTGTTAAACTCCGTGCAATATTATACACCATAGTTGTTTCACTATTTAATTGATGCACACAATAGTCTTTGAAGTAATAAATGTAGAGAATTATAGCACTTCACAAAATGGAATAAAGTGACCGAAAAAATCAAAACCTGTGTCAGCAGTATGAAAATCTTAGTTTCAGCACATATTGTTAACTTCGTTTTGCATTCATTGAAGAAAGCACTAGAAAGTTAATTCTTCAGTTATTACATGCAGTAAACCAAACAGTGATTCCTAGTGATTATTTATTAGCCTCAATTTGAATATTGAAGTAACGTTATTGCTAAAGATGTCATCAAATCTGTTGGTGAAACATTCAAGATCAAGTATCATTACTTGGCGAACAATGAATAATTTCATACCACACCACAATTTTTTTCCATTATTCCTATTTCTTTTGGTATTATAAGTGAAAGGTTCACCAAATACATGACAATCAGAAGTTTTACAGAAATATATCTTTCCCATTTAATGCATATTCAGTAAAAAGCTTTCAAGGAAGATGATAGTCTTATGATAGTTGAAATTCGTAACTGCGAGTGCAAATTGTTATAAGTTCGTAATAGTCTTTCATCAGTGTTGTATTCTATCACTCAAAGGGTCTTCTGCACATTTATGAAGTCTTTTGACTGGATATTTATCTAAGGAGATTTGTTTATAAGTAATATAATCAAATCGAGTGTGAAAAGGTTAGTGGACAGGGATTTTTACCAAGTAGAGTTTTGTTGATATTAGATGGTTGGAGGCAACCAACAGGAAGCCTTAGACCTAGGTTTCGTGTTAGTTGGCAGTCGTCAGCAAGGCGTATCTGCAACCTTGAAGGAACTCACTTCCCTTCTGAGATTCGAACCCGTATCACCCAGTGCTGCAGTCAGAGACGCTACCACTGAGCTATTGGGGCTCTCAATCGACTGATAGAATTCAGTCTGCACCAAACAAAGAACTAGACACATTACACTAGTTACTAAAGTTTTGTTTGAAGAAAAATGACTGACATAAACTTACATTGAAGTGTATCTCGTTATCAGATTTCATATGAGCTCTTGAAAATTAATATGTAGGAAATTATTCACCAGTAGTAAGGCGGTGACTATATGCTATAACTAAATCGTGGGCTCTGTATTACTTCATTAGTTTCTTCACCTCATGTTTTTTTATGTATTCTGCCATTTCGTTTCAGTGTATTTATACTTGTTACTGTTATTAATTATGAAAAGCGATTCTGCATGAGTGTCTAGTTTATCTGTCCAATTAATCGTAATGTATGTGGTTGTTAATATCATTTAAACTTGGTCATATTTGTATTTATGATTTAAGCTGTAAACTACATCTGTCTTATGGTCAGGTGATTTTACGTAAATAAAACTAGAAATCATACTCAGCGAAAGTGTGTGCGCGTCGCAGCATTTAGCAGTGAACGGCACATATTGTATACAGACTTTTGATACTGCCCCTCTGCCGAAACTTTCCAACCAACAATACAGTGGTTGTAAATCATGTGACAAAGTTTACTCAGATCAAAACATATTTCACGATTTTGAAGCTGCATCTGTTGACCTTTATCAGTAGTCAGTTGTCTTTTGACCTGATGGAACCTAAGCCGGCTTCTGTATTAAAGCACAAACTTTGTGAATTTGATGAAGTTTTTTATGTTTCAAGTTATTAAGATGTAAAATCCAATCTCTCAATTGCATCACCGTTATAGAAAGGGTATCACTCTATATTATCTCTACAAATGTTACAATGCTACTACACAAGTCGATTGTTTTCAGATACGCTATTATTATAACTTGAATTAAAAAAATAAAAATTCCAGTCTACTCATCTTCTGTCAAAGCTAATTAAGTTTTCTGACAATATTTGTTACTGTTACAAGTTTAACTTTCTTTTTTTATTTCCGTTTCTAGTCATTACTTTTACGTTTACCATATCGAATTCAACCCGGTGTCGGTATTTCAATGCAAGATCTACGTCTACTAAATCAAAGTAAGTTTAAACATGCTTTACTACAAATGAAAGTCGTACTACTGAAAATTCACTTCTAACGCATATATGTGTATAGATTCTAGTTATGCTAAATTATCATTACTTCAAATGCTAAGCTGGCATGCTGAAACTTACAAACAGTGACTTTGCGAATCTGCTACTCCTCTTCACCATAACCTGCGTTATATGTATGAGTAAACTGTGCTGTTAAACAAATAACTAATTAGAAGTGGGTTTTAAGTAATTGACAGATATGTTATAGACCTACATCTATCGCTTTATTTGACTTTTTACAGACTGAAATTTTACATTTGTTCTTTAAGCAATCGCTTTCATCACAATTCAGCATGGGCTAAACAATTACGTATCGTGAAAAATTGGGAAATTTCATACCTCAACCACACAGTTGGTTCGGGCTTCGATCCCCGGCCAACACACTCTTTTACCTCGCTATACCAGTAATAAGACTGGTAAAGAGGGAAGGTTGGGCATGAGGCTAGCAACCCCATCCCGTAAAAATAAATACCACTGCTAACGAGACTTCAAAGCTTGAAGCCCTGTGAACGTAAAGAAATTAAAAAAACTTCAACATTACGATTAAAGTACATTGATGAATTCATATTTCGTTTGTAAAAAGTTTTTTAGTGTGTCGTACGGTAGCTGTATTTATATCCTTATGCTCAACAACAGGATCCGTTCGTTTACTTAACAAAAATATCTTTCAATAGAAACATCTATTTGTTAGTTATCTGAAGCATTTAAAAATTTCCTAAGAGGATGTAAAGTTTCTGTAAAAATTACAGTGATTAGAGGCAAAACAAGTCATAATACCTAATCACGATAGTATTGTTTGTAAGCAGATAAGTCAAATACTTGTCGATTGGAGGCAATCAATGATATTCAGGAGAACTAACCTTACTAACTGACTTTAGTATATTATCCTTCTGCGTTCGGTAGTTGTTTTAGGCTTATCATACACTTTTGTTTCAGTCTCTTAGTAATTACAGTTTACGCCGTCTCTGGCGTAGACGTGATATCCGACTATCGACCAAAGGGCGTGTGTACTGCTCAACAGTCCACTCCGTCCTCCTTTATGACTGAGTGAGACCTGGCCATTGAGAGTGGAAGACATGAAAAGATTAGCTGTCTTCGATAATAGGTGTCTGCGTTCTATCTCCCGCGTGAAATGGGATAATATGGTGAGCAATATTGAGGATAGGCTTATGTCGAGTGCTAGGTAAGGAGGGGAAATCAGTCGACGAGACTGTGAAATTACACCGACTGAGAAGGTTAGGACAAGGGTTACGTATACCTAGTCATCGCCTTCCTCGACGGGCAATGTTAGCTGATATAGGATCAGGCTGGAAAAGAGCTAGCGGTGGTCAAACCAAAACATGGCACTAGTCAATGAAATCTACAACATTTAGTCTAAGCCACGTAGGAAGGTGTAGACTTCCTGGTTGGGGTCCTCGGGACGGTAAAAACCAATGGTTGGAAACAATTGGTGACATGGCTCAAAATCGTTCTCAGTGGCGCAGATGCATCCACTCCTTGTGACTTATGATTTCCAATGAAACTGTTTTGTTCTTCGTTATTACTATTCCTTTGTCTCACATCTCTGTTTACTGTCTATATTATGCATTTCTCCTGCTTTCTTCTCTTGCTTTGCGTGCTACATGGATTGTGGCGACTTGAACTGCCGCACATATGTGCAAAGTTCTATGTTGAAAACCGACCGACCGAATTACACTTTCTTCCTTATGCCACCAGTCAGTATGTCGGATACCTAAATGTGAAAATTATGTGTTTACCCATTAAAAAACATATGAAACTACAACAAATTAAGATGTACCAGAAAGAGAGTAATTCAATGGAGATTATTGAGGATATTCACACTCTGGATGAAGATAACACTATGTAGATACATCTGTTCTCAATTGTGAATTTCGAGCCATGTTACCAGCAGTCTCTAACTACTGATTCCTAGTATTGTGAGGAGTCCAGCCAAACAGTGTACACCTTTCCGATGTGGATCAAACTAACAGTGGAAGACTTCATAAAGTACTGCTAGGTGTTTTGGTTTACACATGTAAAATTTATCTTTACTTTTATTCTTTATAGTTCTCTATGCTACTGTTCTGGAAAATCCAAAAATAGAAAAATTACTTGATAGCTACATAATGAATGGTAGGTTTCTGATTAGTCCTGTTTCTATTTTCGTTAAGTGATACACATTTCTCTTTATTTGTATTATTTTTAATTTTGTGTTGTTAGAATAAATCATTGTTCTAAACGCCATTAGTATTCCTTATCCCCGATCAGACTCCAAGAAAGTCATTACTTTGCTGTACAGTAAACACCATTTGTGCAGATTATGCATTATGCATGTTATAAACAAAAAGCTTTGGTTAAGTCTCAATTCAAATTGAATCATTCGTATCTAGTTCAACTCTAATAGCCAAAAACACCTTAAGTTGAACAATTTATTACAGTTCTTGTCGAAATTATCTTTGTTGTCTGAATTTCAGAGATAATGCTGTTCACTGTTAGTGTCCAATATCATTTCTTTCGAATTCTCAAGATCACTTTATAATATTTCGTGAGGCGTTGGCACAATCGCTTAACAGACTAGTCTAAGTTCGAGCTTCATCTCAACCATATTTTCGTATTGGTTTGATTCATTCCGGTGCATAGAACTACATATACAGGTGTCACTTAATGATATTTGACGCTTGGCTTATTAAAAGACCTGTGTACGCATAATACGTAGTCACAAATAATGTGAAATACAGACCGTAGATACTATAGTATAAGGATAAAAGTGATCGCTAGGTTTTTTCCGATAGAGCGTAGTAAACGTCATGCAGACATTCCAGTTGTGTAAAAAATAGATAAGACATTTGAAACAGCTAGACGTAACATTTGATATGGTTTCAGCATTCCTCTAAGCACATAATACAAAATTGCACTAGGCTAACTACACAAGGGTGCGTCGGTGGCATAGCGGTTAGGACGCTTGCCGACCATGCACATGGTCTGAGGTTCGATCCCCGGCCGACGCACTCCTTTACCTCGTTAAGCCAGAAATAATGCTGGTGAAGGGGAACGGTTGGGCATGGGGCTAGCGACCCCATCCTGTAAAATAAACACTGCTACAGAAACTTCAAGCCACTAGTTTGAAGCGCTTTTTTCCACTGGGGAACGTGAAGGAAAAAAAACTACCGAAGGGAAGTTCAAATCGTAATTAACCGCCTCTATTCTATCCATTCAAGTAGGCCTAAACAAGAGGCAGGGGAATTTGTTTTGGCTATAACTTATATACTCATCCGGTACTAAAATAAAAGCTTACCTGCATATCAATTGAATCTCTAGCTTTCCACTCACTTATTCAAGCTCTGTATTACTATTAACTACGGTCACTACTATCCACCACGATCTAAAGCACAAGAAGTCCCATATTTCAAGGGAGACTGACTGATTCAGTTCGACAGGTCGATAACGAATAAGTCCAGTATTATGCCTAAAAAATACTCATTATTTTAAATCTTCTTTAACGTAAAAGTGTATTTCAACTTAGCTTACAATTATTTTTGTAGATATTTGGACTCTAGGGGAATCAAAAACGTCAAATAACAACAAGTAATGTTAAGTTAGCTGCGATATTGTGTAATAAATTCTCGATGTATCGAATTGGCTATGACATTAACTGTATTGTGCATATATGATCATTTCTTTTATAGTTACCAATGCCAACGGTGTTGCTGACTGGGTGAAAGCGGTTGAACCTCCAAGATGTCATGAATCACAAACATTGAAGATGACATCGTGCCAGGAACGAAATCATCATCATATGCCAACATCAATAGAAACGCAATGTGCTTAAAAGTCTTTCATCTGTGTTTTCGTTATCTCTTTCCTCTTGCTTCCATTTTATTTTCTAAAAAAGTATATATTGCTTTTGCAAATTCTACTTACTCTCAACGCTCGGTGTGAATTTGTTTCTTTCTCGGCATCAGTAAATACAAGATATTTGACCGTAACCAGTTAACATTTATTACCCACCAGAATATGCATTTTGTTTTCTAATAAGTTAATTTATTTTATATATTTGCCATTTTCTTTTTTGCTCTGGCTTTACTTTAACTTGTGCAATAATTTGATTATAATTTCAGCTATTTTTGAGTTTTTTTTCCCCTTTTCATCTAAGCTAATAATGTGCCATTTATGTGTAATGTGTTAGATTCCAAAGGTACCGTTTTATCTCTTAATACTGTTATATTTTGATTTTTTCCCGCCCCCTTCTCGTAATCACCTGTCGTGTATACACTGTTCCTCTAACCTTCTGTCGAAATATTGACTTGGTTTTCGTTTTCCAATTGATTTATAAAAGTTGGAAATACGAAACAGCTGATTGATTGCTATAATTTTGATAATTTGCGCTCACAGTTTACTTCACTTCACTAATATTAATTTTTATTGTTCCTATTTTTGTCCATTAATTGACTTTTTTGTCTGAATGTCATTCACTAGAACTCATGATATGTCTGTTGTTTTACTTTATTGCGCACTTATCACTGAAATGTTTTCTGTAACAATCGCAATCGCTAAATGTTTAAGATATGTAACTTTGCATAATAAAATATTTTCAATGGCTTCATTGTCCCATGAGTTGAAGACATGAAAAGGTTGACTGTTTTTGATCATAGATGTCTACGATCTCTTTCTCACGTTAGGTGGCATAATAAGGTAAGAAATGTTGATGTTAAGCGTAGAGTGTTGGGCAAAGAGGGAAAATCAATCGACGAGGATATAAAGTTACATAGATTGAGATGGCTAGGTCACGTGCTGCGCATGCCTAACCATCGCCTACCCCGACGGGCATTACTAGCTGATATAGGTGCAGGTTGGAAAAGAGTAAGTGGTGGCCAAACAAAAACATCGCCTCATCAATCCATGAAATCCTTGACAGTTAAACTGAGTCAGGTAGGGAGATGCAGACTTCCGGGTTGGGGCCCTCGGGACTCTAAGAATCAATGGCTGGAGACAATAGGTGACATGGTTCAAAATCGTTGTCAATGGCGCAGATGTATTCAGTCTCTGTAATCTTTCATATTCCTTTCTACCATTACTCATTCTGTTTCACTCCTATACTTGTCAAAACTCTATTGATTCTCTTCACTCATTTTCTTTTCTATCTTTGTGTGCTATTTGGAACGTGGCAACTCGAACTGTCGCACTTCGGTGCCAAGTTCTATGTTGAATCCAGAGAGACATTGTTCCATGAAACTGGCTCACAAGTATTCCGTTATCCAGCCACTCATTGACTTAATCACTCAGATTCGCATCCTTCTCCACCTACTTTAGCCTGAGCAATTGGGCACTAGCATCAGCGCACAGTGGTTAGGACTCTCTCCGACCATGCACATGGTCCCGGGTTCGATCCCCTGCCGGCGCACACCCGATATCTATGGTCGGCCTGAATTTGGGCTACCGATATCCATGCTGAAAATTCCATACTTGTACTGAAAATACGGTGTGGAATCAAGCTGTAAATCAAAATCAAAACATACAGTAAGTCAGCCTCATAATCTGGTACATCCGAAGCATATTCCAGTTAACTGAATACAAACGAATCATTATCTTATGTTGTGAAGTCCTGTGTTTTTACAGACCATATAATACACAGATACAACATAAGACTCGCATAAACGCATTAAGAAAAATTTAACAAGATGAACGATGAAATTAAGGCAAACCGATTGTGAATTATATAATGTAGTTCCAAAATACCAACTTCCTAGTTGATTACGGCAGTTTATACAAGCCATTACTAAATGCCGCAGTTTTTATCTAGCATACAATAAATACGTTTTAAACTATAGCAAATTATATCACTCGCAATACTGAGAAGGTAAATTTGTCGCTATCTCATCTATAAGGACTTGTGTCGATCGAGTGTAGTGAAGCGATAAGTAACTGAGGCACCAAAGCAGAAATTTACACAAGTGTCAACCTGTCTACTACCATCTTTTTATTGTGTCCATATTCACTAAATAGTATGACTGCTGGCGCTCATCAGTAAATCGCGTCTGAAACCTTTAGGAAGTTCACATTCTTCCCGGAGAATCGTTCTTTACGTAGTACTGAATTTAGAGATAGATACTATTAATAATCTATTTATGACGGACAGACTACACTTGAATGTATAGTAAGTACGGATCAAATGACTATTTGTGTACTATAACATTGTCTTATGAAGTGTTCAGGATGAATTCGAAAGCTACACCCGATAGTCTTATTTTTGTTAAGTTTCCAACATTGATTTCGTGAAATTCAATTCGTGTATTTTCCTATCCCACTTTTGTGGAATTTTTGAATTACAGAAAAATTTTGCTGATTATTCGCCATGTTATTAATGTGATAAACAGTTGAGAGGGGTTTTTTTTCTTCTTCCATAAACACTCGCATGAACAGATGCTGAAGCAATCAACTCGTTAGTCTCCTTCATGTCTAGAATAGTTAAAGCAAAGCAATCTGTTTAATACATTCCAAGTATTGGTCAGTTTTTAGTTGCGCACAAAATCTCCTACAGAGCACACTACATTGTGTTAATATTTATAATTACTGCATAACTTTGGAATTAAAAAGCTAAGGACGAATATTGCATATATTCTAATAAGTCTTTTTCTTTTCTCCAAATGAAATGTATTTCTTTACCTCTTGCAGAGTGTTCTAGTGTAACTGCGTAGTGGATTGGTATGTGTGTGTATTGGAAACATTTTTTTATTGCTTAAACGTTCTAATTCATGAATAATCTACATCCAGGCATTAGTGAAAACAAAATGCATAGTTCAGCGAAGAGTCTTTTTGGCGAATTCATTTTCTTAGCTGTACAATCGCAATTATATATAGAGGTTATTTTATATGTATGTGTACATTATGTTCGTCAAATAAAAATACAATTGGTTATGGTTATTTTAACTAAAGGGGTGAGAATTAAAAGTTAGGTGGAGTTACGCAATACAAAACGGTCAGGAAAATTGTGTGTGAATGGAACTAGGATGGTAACAAAGGTGATGAGTTGTCACAAACAGTTGTTAAAAAGGAGTTATTCAGTAATATGAATAGGTTGATGATTGAGTTGTGCTGAGGATTCACATACAAATAAAGTAGAGAATACTAAATTTCGTAAGAGTTTTAAATGAATACAAGAATTATAAGCAATTAAAGAAACAATAAAACAAACAAAATTAAGTCATCAAAAAACAAAGTCGTTACCATGATATAGTAGAAGTGGTTGAGTAATTTTCTTTTGTATGCACAGCTCCGGTTTTTCTGTGTTAGTGGCCAGAGCTTCAGCGACACAAAGAAGACGAAACCGTATTGCCTTTGGTAGGTTATTCTTGACTCTGTAGATTACTTTGAAGGAGGTGTTTGTTGAGATGGAATGATCAGTGTTAATCAGGTGTTCAATTATCACACTCCCTATAGCACCAATATTGCCATTTCGTAACCACACTGGTTAGTGTTCTTGAATCCTCTTAGACAAGATGCGTGTCCAACGACTTATGCACCTGGGTCCACAGCAGCAGGTGAACTGATATATGCACATAGAAGTGGTCAGATGCGGGATCTTTTCATTAAGGCTTCTGCAAATCAACGGGCGACTGGAGAACACTTCTTAGCGTTACTGCAAAGAATGTTCTTTTCAGAGATGATGTGATCCTTCTCTTTGCAATATCGCTTGTTAAATCTTTGAAATCCAAGTTAATGTAGAGTTTCGTTTTCGGCACAAGTGAAGTTTCATTTCTCCAAACTCCTGGTTTTGTCAATGAGTCTTGGCGCGTATCCATTTTGGATGAAGGTTTCTTTCAAAAGAATTAATTCTGTTTCTAGAACATAGGGACTACTGATGCGAGTGGCAAGGGATATAATTAAATTCCACTTTTGTGGAAAGGGTACCCAGCTACAGAAGCTTGTCAGTTGACCATTTCAAGTAGCTTTTCTATGAATTGATCTTCTTAAGGTCCCATCAGTTTTTCTTGTTAATTCCACATCAACGAAGGGAATTTTTGATTTGTTTTCCATTCCAAGAATGAATTTTATTGCTGGATGGCAACAGTTTAATGTCTGCAGTGGTAGATTGGGGGTGGGGGGAAATACTGTTGTCACAAACAATGAATATGTCATCTACGTATCTTTTATGTAGTCGTTAATTGTCGATGCTCGGCTTTAATGGACCTTTCTCGACGCTTGCCCCGAAGCAGTCTGATAGTAGTGGACCCAATAGAGATCCCATTGCGATACCATCTTTTTGTCTATAGATGGTGTTGTTGAAAGTGAACTGTACGTGCAGAGTGCATCTAAGTAGTAATTGCTTCAAATATGCTGTTGGTATTCCAATATTGAGACCGTTCCCATCTATATATTTACATATAAAGCAATAATAAATTGATATTTATATCAGGTTAATGATGAGATTTCGATAATACATCAAGTACATCATCATCAGTTATTGGGGAAAGTCTTCAAAAGGATGTATGTAAGTGTTAACACAAATTTCAGCACTGCTGTAAGTTTTCAATAATTTAAAAAATTCCCATAGTGACAATTATAGAACACGATTTAAGCAAATGCATATTTTCGGTAAATTCCCATCGGACTTTACATTTACATAAAGAAATATTAGTCACAGGTGTTTGAATTAATAGGGTTAATAAAATATAGGATCAGAGCTTAGGGATAAATTCATTCAAGTGTTTACATATTTCAGGCAACAGGGAGTGTATAGGTAGAATGTGCATACTAATAAGAGTAGGGCCTAAAGTTTTGTTGATAGTAGTGATAACGCTGTACGTACAGCATAATATGAATAAGCGAGTGGAAGCTGGAGTTGAGTTTTTCATATCTCTACTAATGCTATCAGTCGTTTTCATTAGGATAATTAACAGCTGTTAGAAAATTGTATTCATTTGCATATAACTTAATCATTAGAAAATTTGGAGCATTCGTGACTAATGTGATTAATTCTTTCGTTTATTCATTCGAACTAAGGGAAAACATTCGATTTTTTGTTTTTGTGAAAGTCACTTTTGCTTTCTGAATTAACCTTCCCTTAGGAAGTGAGGATGTTCCCACCTCACCTCATAATTTACACAAGAGAACCAGGCAGGATTTAGACCAGGAAGAGGGTGTATTGATCATATCTTCACCCTTCGACAGATTCTGGAACATAGGCATACTTACCGGCATCTAACAATCGTTATATTTCTTGATCTAAATGTGACATGCGATTCCGTCGACCGAGAGGTACTCTGGCGATGCTTGGCAGTGAAAGGAATGCGGAGGAAATACATTGCACTGATCAAGACACTCACTCTACTCGAACTCATGTAGTCAGCCAGGTGAGAGCTTACGGCGAGTTGTCATCTGAAGTGGTGACAACTAGTGGTGTCCGTCAGTGATGCCCACTATCCTTATTTCTATTCAATTTCATCATAGATGTACTAATGGAATTAACCCTAACTCACTTCAGCGACTCAGGGATTGACTTGTTACCGTCAGTGAATAATCTCGTTGACTTAGAATATGCAGAAGATATAGTCCTTCCGCTGACAAAATTCAGAGTTTTCTGAACTCCTTGAGCTGCAATCTAACAATGT